CGGCCCCTCGCCCCGCCTGCAGCCCTCCGGCGGGCCGGTCGTAGCCTCGGGGCTCTTCACACCTCGTGGGGTTTGTCCCCCAGCAGCTCTCCCTGGTTATGCCCTGGGGCTGGGCATTTCCAGTGACTGCAGGAAGAATCCTGCAGAAAAAGCCGCGTTAAGTCCCGGGTACCAGAGTGCCTCTCATCTGTGAGAGCGGGGAATGTCACAGAAATGCTGTCCTTGTCGCAGACCTCGGTATTAAGAACTGAGGAAGGACAGAGCAGATGCTACGCTTTGAATAATTCCATCTCCGTTTAAGATACCAAGACGGGCAGCTCATTCCCCTCGACAGCCCTCCAGAGAGGAGCAGGGAAACGCAACCTATCTGGGATCAGAAAAGGTGAAAATTGTGTAATCTCAAAACAGTAAGTGGAGGGGTTTATTGTAGAGCAAGGGTTAAGGCTGTCCAGCTGCTGCAACTGCATTTTTACCTCTGCATGTTTGCACTTTCTACAGCGCATGGTTTTGCAATTTGCTTGCGATGTTGGTTTGGCTTTTTTTTTTTTTTTTTTCAATCTTTCGCTTACTCTTATCAGGTCTCGGTCTTAGTTCTGTCCTCAGTCAGATTTTTACCTCCAAATGTTTCCTTTTATGTAAGTGCTGATAGTACCAACAGTGTCTTTAAGCCACTAAATTGAACGTACCCCTCCACACGTACACTACATTCACCCCCTGACACATTTTTGGTCCCAGCACGAATCTGCATCACCCTGTCTTTCTCTGCACCGGCCTTAACACCCCTTCCTCGCTGGCTGTGACAGGTACGGTCACTAGGACTAGTTACAGCAAGTTGGAGAGCTTGCCTGGCCACCTGAGCAGGGGTGCAGCTGGAAACCAGTTAGTTTGCGCGAAGTCTGAACAGATGAATCGGTAAGTCCTCAAGAGTGCTTCAGGATCACTGGAACGCTTGGCATAAACAAGTCCAGGACCTCATACCCCACAGCAAGAAAACAAGGACGGGTCAGCTTGCTGAACTCCATCCTACCTCTGCAGAGAAAGGGCCCCGTCTGTGTCACTGGTTAGGCTTGCGTTCTTCCTGGCTTCCATGCTCCTTCTCTCTGGGGAGGTCTGCAGTCACGGGGCTCCGTGACATCTTGTACCAGCTGGGGCATTAAGGGGTGACTGAATGCGATGTACCAATGGTGAATGTGAGGGTGAAGAGGAGTGCATGTTAAAGTTGCAGATCTTTGGGCCTTTGTCCGAAGAGGTGATGCAAAGAAATGGAAATTTTGCCTGTCTTTGGCTTAATGAGCCCCCTTCAGCTTTCTTACCTCTCCCGGGTCAGGTATCTCAGGAGGGTTTTTTAGGGCACTCTTCCATGTCATCCTGCCAAAACCCAGTGCAACGTTCGTATCGCCTCTGCCATGAAGGAGCAAGGGGGCTGTTAAGAACTGAGTGTAAGGCTGGGTGAGGTTAGGGCACGACAGCCCTCTTTCTTACTTCTAGACATTTAAATCTGGTACAGTTTAACTCTTTGACATGCTGAACTTGAGAGAACATCAAAGTGCACACATATTTTAGAGAATTTTATAATACTGTCCTTCAGCACGAGAGGTTCACTCAGTTTTAACCTTTTGATAAGAGCCACCCTGCGCTGAGCAGGTCGGGCTCGCTACAGAAGGAAGCTCAGAGAATGCTGTGAGAGAATGGGACTCCTGCTCCAGGCACTGAAGATTGGGCATTTTTATTGGTAGGAGTAAGGCACATAGGAGGCCAGCAAGAGATTTTTTTAATGATTTGGAATAATGTTAAGGGAGATGCCACCTTCATTTAATACCTTTCAAAATTAAATTCCCCGCATAATATGTTCCAGGACGTCCTAATGTAGTTCTGTATGTTGAAGTATATCGGACTATGCTGTGCAGTGGCAGATGAGGCAGTTCTGAAATTCCCTAGGACCAAGGCAGCTCCAGGACTTGCCCTTTTGATGTTTCCCTATCAGAACTGAGGGGAGTCTTGGGTAAGGAGGGCTGCCACAGATACGTTTCCCCTTCGCAGCCAGCTCTCGCGCCTGGTTGAAGCAGCTCTGCAGCCCTGGCTCACTTGAAGTTCCCTGGCTTGTTTCTTGGGTCTTGTGTTGATCAAAAGTGTGTGTGTGGTGTAAGAGGACCACTCGCCACCAGACAAAATCCTGCTTTCACATAGCCACATTACTGCCATCTCTTCTAACATTAGTGTGTGTGTGGGGGGGGGGGGTGTAAAGGAACTCTGACGGGGCAACCGAGCTCGTTTGTACCCTTCATACAAACGTAACGTGCTGTGGGGTGCTCTGGCAGGAACCAGCCTCTGGAATGTCCCCAGGGCTCAGCACGATCAGCGACACGTGCCATCGGTACGGACAGGAGGAAGGACCTCTCAGAACCGTGTTCCTGTGATGACTAGCTGTTGTTCTGTGTCATGTTTTGGGGCTGGTTACAACTTACTTCTAGACGTTTGCAGTTCATTTCCTATCCATTGGAAAGAATAAAAGGGAGGCGTGTGGTTTCCATGCTTTATTGAGAAGCAGATTTATGCATTATTCCCTGCGTGGGCGTGTGACAGAATGCAAACGTGCGTGACGCCAGGGATATGTATCTAATGCAGAGCACAAGCTGCCTAAAAGGTGATTCCAGGGAAAGGTAATTTTACGGTTTGCTCGCTGCAATCACTAATGAAATGCAATTTCTGAAAAGCTTTTAGCACGGTGGACGTTGTTTTGCTGCCACTCACCTGGCAGATTTGCAGGCGTCCTCTTGATGCTGACAGTGGCAGCAATCCGAATCGTTAAGGGTACTTTCAGCTATTCCCTAATGAGTTCCTCTTTCCTTGTAGCGCTTTAATGAACTCCAGGTTGTAGTTACTTCCCCAGTACTTTCTCTCCTGATGCTTCTAATTTCAGATAAATATTTGAGATTAGAAGTGGCTCTGGGTATGAAACGTGACCCTTAGCCTCCGTGCAACTCTCTGATTATGACATGCCATTAAAAGCTAGAGCCATCGCTCTAATCCTGCAACTTGGGAACGCTTGGCTCAAATTACATCGGTGGCTTTTTAACAGGAGCAGCGTTTCTGTAAGGGATGTGTCACTTCCAAATGCAAAATAGGAAACAGCTGCCTGCTGCAGACATCAAATAGGAGCGACCCCCCCATCCAGAAGCAAGACCAAGTTTTTGGGCTCCACAAAACCCAAAGGTGTCTCTTTTAAAGTTGAATGGCCGCTCACCTCAGCAGATGAATAACCACTGGTGTTAACGTAGCCATTTTAGTTGTTTCCTCTTCTTCGTACCTTCTGCAAAGGTATTAATTAGTGGAAAGACAGGATATCTCCATTCTGTGTTAGATACCTGCAGAGCTTTGGATCTCTACCCTATTTTAAAGACTAAGAACTTGCACACCGTGGATATTTGTTGCACCCTTTGTAGGCAAAAGTGTGAAAATTTTCAGAGCAATCTTGCCTTTAAGTCCTTGTGCCTCTCCGGATATTCTACAGCAAAAGGCAATTAAAAAGGTAGGGAGTGGTAAGAAACATGTCTCTAGACTTGTGAATGCTATAGAGATGGTAACAGAGAATGAGGAGTGATTGATTCTTAATAAGAGCTGGCGAACACCAGGGGAGAAGTTCTAAACCAAACAAAATTAAGTACGTCTGTCATACAACACAACTAAACCATGGCATTCCTTGCCCCGTGGATGCCAAAATCTCAGTGGGCTCAGAAGATGGCCGGGCAAATTCATGTAAGAAAAACCCATTGGATATGATTGGATGTAAAGACTCCCCTCTGGCTCGGGAAGTCCAGATGATGCAGGTTGCTGAAAACTCAAATTGGTACCGGGGAAAATACAGTCAGTCTCCTGCTCTGCTGCTGTTCCCAGCTTGCCACCAGAAGTAGTGCTCCGATTACCTTGGTGTGAGCCAGTGTAGCCGTTCTTATTAAGATCTCCTAAGCTGTGGGCCTCTCCTAGAGAAGAGAATCCTTGAGAGGACGGTGGTTCATCATCTCCTTACGCAATGCTGAAGTTCAGAGTATGAGCAAAGTTCTTCGCTACATAAGCTGAGAATTGACAAGTAAAAGGACGGCAGTAACACCTCCATATATAGCTATCGGGGTTGTAGTCAGAAAGTTCCATAGCTGCTTAGCTAAAATAGTGTAAAAAAAAAAGTGCAGACAGACAACGCCCAGGGTATTGTCGTACAATGGAAAGTCATTCAGCTGATGTGGAGTGACAAGTCACTGACCAGCTGTTCTGCGGTAACTGGCCGTACACACCTCGGTCCCTCCCAGCTCTGAAATACAGCAACTTAAGCAATTTTAATGTGTTTTGGACTCACAGACATGGACTGGGATGCCAACACCCTGAGCGCTGTAGCTGTATGAGTGATACGACAATGATACTTCCCAACCGGAATGGAAAGAACCAATGTTATTTTTAAACAACGTGTTACACACCAGGCCATCCTTTATTAACACATCTTATTGAGCAGTTACGGTGTTGGGTGGACACAGGAAGCCCCACGCATAAGCAAGGGGATGTCTCTCCATCACCAAAATGCCCATCCGCTCTTTCTCTCCCTTCTCTCCCACTGCTGATATGGTAAAAACGAGCAAGTGTTATCTTTTACAAACGCGTCTTTCCTTAAAAGGATCTTTTCCCTTTAGAAGCCAAGCAAAGCAGACATTTTTGTGGGCGCTGGGGGTAGCGGTGCGGACTTAAGCTTAACATATATGATAAATATAGAAGAAGAGGAGAAAGTATTTGGCATGTGGTAGCAACTTAGGCTAAATAAATTCCAGTGGTTACCCAAACGAAAAGTTTTCTTATGATAGCAAACAAAACAGACTGTAGTTGACTCTGAGGGCGCCTTCGACGCTGGAAAGGTGGTGCTGGGTGTGAAGGGGAGGCTCATAACATAAATGCCATTTTTTTTTTTGCCAGAAGAAATGGCTTTCAAAGGCAGTGGGATGTTGTAATTTGTCTTACCAGCGGTGTCCTGATTGTGACACTGTCTGGAGACTCGTCTGACAATGGGAACGCAGTCAGATGCTCCCCCCTCCTCGCTGAGATGTGGTTGCTGCAGTAGCTTTTATATTTTGCCAGGGAGTACCTGTCTTGTGCACGTAGATATTTTCTGAGTTAGCAGCTGCTGCCACCGCTGCTTGGTGCGGAGGCAAGAGCTTAAATCGGCACAAGAGAGTTCTTGCCACAGTGTTGGGCCCTTCCCACCGGGCTGAAGAACGAGCAGGGCCGCGCTCCGCGCCTCGGGGTTTGCCGCCTGCGCTGCCCGACCAGGTCGGAGCGCACCGAAGAAATCTGTTCCGTTTCCTCGGGGGCCAGGGCACCGATCGTAACGCCGGGAGCCCAAGGGAGGAGACAACGCGCTGCCACCGGCTGCTGCAAGCGCCGGCTGCTCGCCCCTCGG